CTTTGACAAGTCTTTTAAGCATTTTGCCAGGAGATAATCAGTGAACCTCAGTGTAGAGAAAATGGTGTCCTATGTAATCTTTTGCAGTTTTTTTTTCTGTTTGCTTGTTTTGATAGCGTGTATTTCATGGAAAAATGTTTGCATTTTCCCCCAATACTGGAGTCTAAAACTCTGCCAAGAAAATTTTTTACAATATATTGCGTATCTCTTCTCATATGCTGTCAAGTCATACTCTTAGTGACATTTCATGAATTCATAAATTCAGTTCTATTTGTAGATGTTGAAACTAAGCAGGTAAGTCTCTTAGATACTAAAAAAAAAATTAGTGAATTCATCAATTTGAAACTTCCTCTATTTATCAATCAATAGTTCAACAAGCATTTATTAAGTGTAGGGTATGTGGAGATTGTGCTATATTATGCCTCTGTAGGTTATGTGTGTCCATGTGAATTTGTCTAAATATGGCTCAGAAAGATCCCTTCAGAATCTCTTCTCTCCCTCCTTCTCAAGGGAAATTTCTATTCCTGCTAGGAGGAAAAGCAAGAAGTTGTGCCAGAGGCTGAACATTTTGCTCTCTTTAGAAAGAGGAGATATTGGGTTAGATTTATGTCTGTCTTCTTCTCTGTAAAATATTATTCATCTAGGTAAAATAATTTTAAAGTTCAAGCTGCACTCCTGATTGCTCTTCTTTAATGAGGAAGGAGTGTCCCAAATTATACATCTGAAGCTTGTGCCCCTTCACACCAGATGCCAGTTCCACAATGAACACACATAGCAGATAAACACATTTACCAAAGAGACTGCAAGTAGAAATTGGAGAATTTCTCTCTCTCTCTCTCTCTCTCTCTCTCTCTCTCTCTCTCTCTCTCTCTCTCTCTCTCTCTCTCTGAATATGTACTAGACCATACAGAGTGAAAGAGTTTTTCCATTGGGAGCAAGATAGCTTTGCTCAACCAAGATAGAGTCTCAGACCTCACCCAAAGGGGAATTCTCGAATTTCTAGTAATAAACTAGGGAAGGGAACATGACCAAAGTGCTGGCTACTCCAAGTGTTGACTTCTTGAAAGAATCTTTCCCCTTTCAGGAATTGGAAGAGAGTCTGGAGTGGAATATCTCTCTTAAAGTTGGAAGCTTGAAAAAGGTTAGGATGTTTCTTCTCTCTTGCTCTCACCAGTTCTGTTCACTCCACATGAAGACTTAAGACACTGAGTAATGAATCTTCACCAATGAGGAGAGAGTTCCATGCAATTGGCCCTTTTAGCCAAAGATTACATAAACACCTATTCCACAAGCTGGGATACAGAAAGAACAATGAAACAAAAAGTTCACGTTCAGTTAAGGAGATGGTACATATGTATGTAAGTAGGTAGACAAAATACATACAGATAATTTTGGGAAGAAAGGCACTGAGAACTGGGGAGCTTAGGAAAGGGTCCATGTAGAAATTGGTGAACGAGCTGAGTCTTAAAGAAAACAAGGGATTTTCAGAGACAGATAAGAAAGGAATCCAGGTCTGTGTAAAGTCACAGAGCCTAGAAAGAGCAGGGTATGTAAAGAACATAGCAAGATGTTCAGTTTGGCTAGACTCTAGATACAGAAAGGAGACTAGCCTTGAGACAAATCCACAGTTAGAGCACGTGATATGAAGGATAAGTCAACACTGAAATCTGAGAAATAATTGTCAGACAGTTAAGAGGAAAACCAGAAGAAAGCAATGTTGGGAAAACCCAGAAAGGATAGAGTATTCAGGGAGCGCAAGCATGTCAAAGGTCAAATGCTATGGAGAAGTCAAGAAGCATTATTGAGAAGAGGTCAACTGCTTTGGCAATTAAGTGCTCATGGGTAATTGAAGAGAGTATCAGTTAAATAAGGAATCAAAGATATCTCAGAAGAACTTGGCTAACCAGAAGGTTAGTGGTACCCTTGACTGAAGGAAGGAAGTTCAGCAGAGGGATGGGTTTTGAAGGTGAAGATAAGATCTATGATACAGATCACAATCTATATTGCATCCTCATTCCCTGTAACTCACTCCATTCTACCAAAACCAAAAAGGGGATGGTGTGGGAAACTCACTAGCTACTGCCCTTGGATGCAGAGGAAACCGAGAGGTACCTGTGGTGGCCATGATGAGGTGGTCTCAGGGCAGAGTGTGGATATGCTGTGGGAGGCAAAACCGAGACCTAGGGAGGTTAAATAATCTGTTCCAGATCATGGAGGTAGTAAAATATCAGAAGTCAGACTTGACCTAGTTCCTCCAAAGTTGGTACTCTTCCCATTGTACTGTCCTGCCCTATATAGTAAGTACCCCGTATTCTCAGGACACCTTCTGAGTACTAACCTGACCCATCCCTTCTTAGTTTCCAAGATCAGGTGAGACTGGGCATGCTCAGGGTAGTATGGCAGATACCACTGGTCTAACTTGTTATAACACAGACAACTGATATGTTACAAAATGGCTAGAGATCAAGATACATAAAGTTTTACTTTATAAGCTTCTATGGATGTTGGATTGGTCCATTTTACCGAACTGGCATAAGAGAACCTCAAGTCACACACTTCTAAGAGTCATCATAGAAAAGAAAAGTCAGGAGGGCAGGGCATGAAACAGTACTATGGCACATTGAGGAAGTGCTTTGCTGGCAGAAAATCAGGCTCCTTAGTGGGTTTATTAGAGGAGCTGGGACTTCTTGATTGTGCATTCTGGGTGGCTGTCTAAACATCTCATTAGAAAGCGGCGTTTGAGTACCTGGCGTAGAAGGGGCAAGAAAGTTCAAGGAGGGCCGTTCCCATGGCCATCACATTGGCAGGAGTTGCCATGGACACTTGGCAACATCCTTCAAGCATGTACTGGCACAAGCCCAGTTTCTGACCTACTGAGCAAGGGAATGATGGTAAAGCTAGAAAGTTAGCTCTAAAATTTGTACTCAGGCTTCATATGGTGCTTAAGAAGAAAAAAAAACCAAGGTAAAAAAAACCCCCAACACCCTGCTTGCTTCTTATGTCTCTGCTGCATTCAATTAGTCTCATTCCTGTAGTCCATTGTCACTTCTTGGCAAGCAAGACATTTGGTAGGAAAATGTTGCTTCTGTATATGAATATGTAAATGTGCCACCCCCTAAAGAAGCCAGTGCCAGAAACATTGGGAGCCCTCACTCTCATTGTGGATCAGAAAAAGGCCTGGTGGACAATTGTCTAAAGTGCTGGGGGGAAGGCCTGTTTCTTTCTTTATATTTTTCACCTAAAGATAGATTTTTATTCATCTATTTCTTTTTCTTTTTTTGTGCTTATGTCTTCAGCACTGGGTGGCATACAGTAGGTGCTTAATAAATACTTAATTGATTTTTATATTACCTATGTTTCTTTTTGTTCCTTTCCCTATCCCCCCTCCAAGAGAGACATCCTTTATAATAAAGGAGAGAAAAAGAAGAGGAATTTTTAAAAATCAAAACCAATAAACAAATAAAAAAAGTCAGAACCGGGGGCAGTTAGGTAGCACAGTGGATAGAGCACCAACCCTGAAGTCAGGAGGAGCTGAGTTCAAATCCAACCTCAGAGTTCTGCTCTCAGAGTAGGCCCGGACCTTAGCAGCCTATTGAGATGTATCCTGGCAGCTGTTTCTGTGGGGGCTGCACCCACGGCTATGAAAGGAAGAAAGAAGGGAAGGAAGGAGGGAAGGAAGAAAGAGAAAGAGGGGAGGAAGGAAGAAAGAAAGAAGGGAAGGTGGGAGGGAGGGAGGGAGGGAGGGAAAGGAGGAGGGAAGGAAAGAATTAAGGAAAGAGAGAAGGAAGATAGGGAAAAAGAAGGAAGGGAAAGAAAGGAAACAAGCATTTATTAAGCACCTATTATGTACCAGACATCATGCCAAGCACTTCACAAATATTATGTTGTTTGATACTTATAACAATTCTGGGAGGGAGGTGCTATTATTACCCCCATTTTACAGTTGAGGAAACTGAGGTAAACAGAGGCTAAGTGACTTTCCCAGGGTCACAAAACTAGTGTGTCAGAGGCCATATAAGAATTCATGTTTTCCTGACATTGAGCCCAGCGCTCTACTACTGAAGACTGAGAAAAGAAAGTCTTTATTGCACCAGCCCTGGAGTCAGGAGGACCTGTGTTCAAATCCGGCCTCAGACACATAACACTAGCTGTGTGACCCTGGGCAAGTCACTTAACCACCATTGCTTAGCCAAAAAAAAAAAAAAAGAAAGTCCTTACTGACAAAGCCTTTGGAATTGTCTGATGCCTCAATATTAGAAGCTGATATGATTTTATTGGTGGAAATATCACCAAAGAAGAAGCGTTATTATTCGCTTGTGTTGTCTCCCTCAGTTGGATGAGAGCTTCTTGAGAGGAAAGACAAGTTTTACTTTTCTATGGGTATTCACAATGCTTTATAGAACAGTAAACTTAAATCCTTTTTTCATTCATTCATTCATTCATTCATTCATTTATTCATTCTACTTCCTTTACTTCGTAAGGAAACAGTATGGCACAATGGAAAGGATGATAGATTTGGGGTCAGAAGATTTGGGAATCCAATCTTGGCTTTATCATTTACTGTCAATGAAACTTTAAGCACATCTCTAAAACTCTGTGAACCTCAGTTTCCTCTTTTGTAAAATGACAGAGTAAGATTGTGACACAGTGAATGAAGTGCCAGACCAGGAGTAAGGAAGCCTGGCATCAGACACTTACCCTCTGTGTGACCCTGGCCAAGTCACTTAACCCTGTTTGCCTCAGTTTCCTCATCTGTAAAATGATCTGGAGAAGGAAATGGCAAACCATTTTAGTGTCTTTGCCAAGAAAACCTCCAATGGGGTCAGGAAGAATCAGACATAAAAACAACAACAACAACAACAACAGGGTTAGATGATATTTCATATCTCTTCCAGTTAGTCTTCTAGGAGTGTTAGGAGGATAAAATAATATACATGTGACAGCATCTTGTGAGCTATAATCATTACACAAGGGTGAAATACTAGTAATATTAATCCAACCTTGACATTCTTGACCTTACAAATGGCGACCAGAAATGGAGGGAATCTGCCTTCCTGGCACATTATAGGTGCTTCGTAAATGCTTCCTGGTTTGTTCATTAGCAAGGAACCTGAAAGGAAAACCAGCCATTCTTTGGTCAAGGTCATTCTATCTTGAAGAAGACTAGCCTCATTATTAGTCATGTGCCCTGTGGTTGAATTTTGGGCACATGGACAGATTAATCTCATTCTCTCCAAATATTTCTCCTAATGAATTGTCACTGGTGCTTGAAATCCTTTCACTAGGGTTCATTCCTTTGGGGTAAGCATTATTCTCTTCCAGTGATCCCTTTTGGGAAGAATAATACAGCAAATCAATAACAATAGAAAGGGGGCCAGACCTGGGTGCCATTTGCCATCTACATGACTTTGGGGCTAGTTTCCTTTGTAAATTAGGAATAATGATACTTGTACAACTTACATCACAGGATTATTGTGAGGAACAAATAAATAATGTGTGTAGCTTGGTAACTAAGGGATTATATAAACGTAAGTCATCTTATAATCAGGAGGCTTCCCTCCTATAACAGGGTGACATTGAAGCATTCAGCATTCAGGGGAATACTTAAAATGGGCAAAGGAATGCAGAAAGAAATGGGAAATGAAAATTGGAAATGACTTGGGTCCATATCATAGTTTTGCCTGGGGTTAGCTCAGGTCCTGTCAAAAAATGTTTCCACTCTGTCCAAGGGCCATGAGTTGATATAAAAACCATCCAATTGCAGGCATATTTGATGAGACCATATCCTCTAGGGGAAAAGTGGGTTATAATAATTTGAAGGGAAGAGTTAGCAATTATGTTCCGTATGTACTCATGTGACCCATCCTCTGACAAAATTATGTCTTACAATAATGAGGCCACAAGTCAGTTGTTATGGTATAGAGATCTATTTCCTGAGCTAAAAGTACACTCTCTGAGCCACATTTTCATATTTCATTTATAATAATTTGGCATATGATCAAGGATTGAACTTCTCTTTTCTTAAAAGTATAGACTCTCTAGAAAATGTGTGTGTGTATGTGTGTGTGTAGAAAGACAGAGAAACAAAGAAAGAGACAGAGATACAGAGAAAAACAGAATGAAACACAGAGAGAGACAGAATGAGGAGAGAAAAGAAATAAAGGAGAAGGATGATGAATAAGGGGAAAGAATGAGGGAGAAAGATAAGGGAAAGCAATGAGGGAGAAGGAAAGAGGGAGATAAGTCAAGGATAAAGCATCAAGAGGCATCATAGCACAATGAAATTGGAATATGGAATCAAAGGTTTTGGATTCAAATGCTATCTCTATTGCACATCATAGGTGACACCTTGGATCCAAGGTGTCAAATAGGGTAGCCAAAGCCAGATTAAAATATAATTGGTAATATTGTAAGATGATCAGCTGTCAATCACTTAGCTATTCTCAGTAATACAATGATCCAAGATAATTCTGAAGGATTTGCGATGAAAAATGCTACCCATCCCCAGAGAAAGAACTGATGGTGTCTGAATACTGATTGAAGCATACTTTTTTTAGTTTCTTTATTTTTCTTGAGTTTTTTTTTTGCCTATGTTTTTTTTCACAACATGACCATTATGGAAATGTTTTGCATGACTACACATGTATAACCTGTATTGAATTGCTTGCCTTCTCAACGAGGGAGGGTGGGGAGAGAAGAAGGAATAAAATTTGAAACTCAGTTTTAAAGATGAATGTTAAAAATTGTTTTTATATGTAACTGGGGAAAAATAAAATACTAAATGAATAAAACAAAAAACCCTCCAAAAATATAATTGGTAAGGTGTTTGGGGTGTCAAGGACAACTATCACCTCTGGTGTGAGGACTTGGGGAACCCTTTTCTGGGCTACCCATCCATCTTTCATGTCTGCCTTTCACTCAACTCTCACCTGTGGCTTCCACAAGCTGTAACATGCACAGCAGCCACACCCCAGAAGGGCTAAACCAGGTTGAAGATAACTGTTAGGCCTCAAATACATTGATGAGTTTGGCAAGGGAGTCTACTCCAAGCATGTGAAGACCTCAGCAGAATGGGCTGATGAGGACAATTTGTTCCAATGGCCATGAAGACAGCAAAAGCAGGAGCTGTAGAACAATAATCATAGGATTACTTAAAATTTATGACCAAAAATAACCCTCCTACACATCATATTTTTAAAAATTATTAAAGAAAATTGTATTGATGTATTAGAACAATAGGGCAATGTGAAAACAGATACACCAATCATTCCTTGAAAGAAATCCCAAAATGAAAATTCCCAGCAATGTCATTGCCAAGATTCAGAGTTTTCAGACAAAATTAAAAAATACTGCAAGTATTCAGATCAAAAGAATTCAAATTATCAAGGAACCGTAATTAGGATTGCACAAGATTTAGCAGCTATAACTATTAAGGAGTGGAAAATATGGTATGAGATATTCCATAAGGTAAAAGATAAAGAACAACAATGAAAAGTAATTTACCTAGAAAAAATATTGAGTATAATCCTTCAAGGAAAAGAATATCAGTGGGATAGAAGATTTCCAAGCATCTTCGATGAAAAAACAACAACAAACTAGAGAGTTGTAAAGAAACTTGAAGTACAAATATGGGAGTCAAGAGAAAAATAAAAATAAAAATGAACAATCAGAAGAGACTTTATAAGGATGAACTGTTTACATTCTGATATATACTTAGAATGGGAGATGTTAAAAGGGTTCTTAATAACACAAGGGGTCATGGAGGTTGTTCAAAAGACATAAAACTAGTTTTGTTATTTCTAAAAGCTTTCATAAGAAAAAGGAGAAGGAGAAAGGATTCATTAAGAGAAAATGGGAGGAAAGATAAGAGAGATTGCTAACATACACAATAGGATTTTGCAAGTAAAATTATATGCAAACATGGAAGAGTGGGCATCACTTGAACTTCACTACTTCACTTTCATATAAATTGGTAAAAAAAGTTCAGAACACATATACTTACAAAGAGTTTGGTGTAGAAATATATTCAAAATGTTTGTACAGAGAAATCAAATAAAACTCAAATTAAAAGGGAAACAACAGAAAAAAATCTTTACAGCAAGTTTTTCTGATAAGTTTTCATTTCTAAGACATATAAGGGAATTATTCAAATTTATGAGAAAAAGAGCCATTCCCTCAATTGAGAAATGGTCTATGAATATGGACAGGCCATTCTCAGGGAAAAAAACCAAGGCTGTTATAATCACATGAAAATACTTCAAATCTCTGCTAATTACAGAAATGCAAATTAAAGCAGTGCTGAGATTCTACCTCACAGCCATCAGATTGGCGAAGATTGTGAAAAAGGAAAATGATAAATGTTGTAGGGGCTATGGGAAATCAAGCACACTGATGCATTGCTGGTAGTGTAGTGAGTGGGTAGCACCATTCTGTAAAGTAGTTTGGAATTATACACAAAAAGTTACTAAACAGTATATTCCCTTTGACCTACTATACCACTGCTAGGCCTATATCCAAAAGAGATAAAAGGAATAGGAAAAGGTCCTTATATGTTAAAAATATTTATAGTAGCTCTTTGTGTGGGGGCAAAAAACTGAAAACTAAGGGATGTCCAACAATTGAAGAAAGACTGAATAAGTTGTGGTGTATGAATGTGATGGAGTACTCTTGTAAAAAATGAAGAAATACATGATCTTTGAGGGATACAAAATAACTTGTGTGAACTGATGCAGAATGAAGTAAGCTGAGCCAGAAGAACAATTTATGCTACAATATTAATATTGTGAAAATAAATATTTATGAAGATTGTTATAAACTGATAAGGAATGAAATGAGCAGAAACAGAACAATTTATACAATAACAACAACCTTACAAAGACAAATAACTTTAAAACCATGAGAACTATGATCAATATGATATCTATTTGTGATTCCAGAAGATCACTGATGAAACATGCTACCCACCTCCTCGCAGAGAGGTGATAGATTAAGGGTGAAGAAGGAGATACATATTTTTGAAAGTAGCCATCGGGAGAACATGTTTGCTTGAATATGCATAATTCTTACAAGGAATTGTTTTCTCCTCTTTTTTTTCAGAAGAGTGGGAATGGGGATGAGATGGGAGATAAGACAGATTTCTGTTAATTTAATCTTTTTGTCAGTAGAGAAGTTGTAGGAGCACTACAGATGTGGAATGCACTTTCAAATGAGTTTAGTTTTGCTTAATTGTTTTACTTCATTACAAGAAACCTTTCATGGAATGGGGATAATATGTAAAAGTTTGTAATGTTAAAATATAACATATCAACAAAACAAAAAACCCCAATGTAAATGGAAATAACAATGATCTTTTAAAAACTGAAGCTAAATATTGCAAAATTATAAAAAAACAAGGTTGACCCCCAAAAAGAAATATGAGAAGATATGTTCCTCCACTCCCTTATAAAATAGAAGCAAGGGTGTATGTCTGTGGAATATTGCATAAAACAGATTTTTCCCAGCATTTAGATTGGTTTTGCTAATTTTCTTCCTCTTTTACTTAAAAAGTCTTTCTTATAAGGGATGGCTCTCTGGCAGGGGGAAAAGAGAAGGTTACCGAGAGAGAAGGCAATGAATAACAAATGATATCAATAAAAACCTATTTTCAAAATATATTAGTAATAAAATCAATGATCCTTGTTATAAAAATTTGGGTCCTTTGGTTAACCTGTGAGAATGACCAACTGAAGGAGTGGACCATAGCCATGAAGAAGAAAGGGTAGCTTTGTCATCTGAACAATTAGTATGCCTTAGGTATGAATGTTATTGAGAAGAGGAAGAAAAACAAAGCTCTCTCCAATTACCATAAAGCTTCAGTTTACTGTCTAAACCATTCTACTGAACACTTTATTTAACAGCAAAGAGAGTCCCCTAATCCTGGATGTTCAGTGCAAAGTTGAGGGTGAAGTCAGTGCAAGTTGGAAGGCTTAGAGTACTTTTCTGAATAATAAAAGATAAATAACAAATTTAATAATTAGTTAATATTGGTATGAGCCTGTATTAATTAATATTCTCTCTTTTTAAACAATTTGCCCATTCTCTTTCTATTAACTGTTCAGCCTGCTCTTCTTCAGCCTAATTCTATATCTTTTTTTTTTCTGAAGCAGTTGGGGTTAAGTGATTTGCCCAGGGTCACACAGCTAGTAAGTGTCAAGTGTCTGAGGCTGGATTCAAACTCAGGTCCCCCTGAGTCCAAGGCCAGAACTCTATCCACTGTGCCATCTAGCTGCCTCTATATCCTTACTTTAACCTGTCATCAGAGGTGTGATTTTTCTAGACTTTGAGTTATCTTTATTGCTCTTCTCGGCATTCCAAGTTTTTGACATCCTTTTAAAGTTGTGGAGACCAGGAATGGATCACCTTGTCTGTAAAATGAGAGGGTTGCACTAAGTGCCCTCTAAGATACCACCTAGTTATAATTCTAATAACCTGTGTGGAGAACTTGAAGAAGGAGCTGAACAAGGCTGAATGTGATGGGAGGGTTACCTAGGAAACCCCATCAGTTAGATTCCTATTTATTCATCTTAGTCAAGTATATGGCTTTTGGCAAACAATAGCGCTTTCATTCAGTAGTTGTCTCATCTGACCTGTAGACATTTTACTGGTCTAGCTACTCAAAACCAGTTGTTATTTTGCATTTTTATTTGCTGAAGTAAATGTGTCTTAATGGCACCTAGGTGATGCTTGATGATAAAAGTTTGGACTTGGAGTCAGAAAGACCTGAGTTAGAATCTCAGCTCAGACACTTACTATCTCTCTATGTGACCCTGGGCAAGTCACTTAACCTCCTGCTGTCTCAAGTTTCTACATCTGTAAAATAGAAAGTAATAACATTACTTACCTCATGGGGCTGTTGTGAGCATGAAACGAGAGAACTTGTAAAGTGCTTTACAAACCTGACCATACCATATGAATGTAACTGATTATTATTATAGAGACAGTGGCAGAGTGTATTCCTGGCCGTGAAGCCAGGAAGAACTGAATATAAGGTTATCTCTGACACATACTGGTTGTGTGATCCTAGGCAAGTAACTTAAACTCTCAGTGTCTTAGTCAACTCTCTAATATTATACATTACAGAGAAGGTGCTGACCTGGGTTAATAAAGGGAGTTTCTTTATCTGGGAGTTTCCTAGACCAATGAAATCACAGGTCCAGTCTCTGTCTTTATCCCTAAGGCAAACCACTACTCATCTAATAGCTAAAGACTGGTGCAAAAGATTGTGTGAGTTTCTTCTCCTTCAAAGACTTTTAGGGTTTAATAAAAACTTTTAGTCTCCTGGGCTTTTTTTTTCATGATAGGTCTTCACCCTCCACTCCTCCCTTCCACACACATTTTTATTCCATTTTTTTCATCTATTCTTTCTTTTACCCCTTTTTGGTAGTGGAATTGAGTGAAGACCATCTGAATATCCCCAGCATTAGAGGAGTCTGCTAGAAAGTGAAGTGCTCAGCTGAATGTTTTGTACAGTAAGTTGAAGCTTTATGGTAACTGGAGGGAGTTTTGTTTTTTCTTCTCAGTAACACTCATACCCAGGCAGACCAAATCCTGCAGTGCATTCTTTATCTCTGGCTGTTTGATGTAGTTCCAGCAACATCAAACACTGGATTCATCCAAACAACTTCAAGCAGGAATAGCTAAAGTCCCACTTTGGAGAGAAGCAGGCAAAGAGAGAGGGAAGCCTGACAATCTCTAACAATACCAGATACTTAAAAGCTGCTTTGCTGGTGAGGGGATGAAAGGATTTTTGTCCACTCCTCTCTCCACCCTTGCTCCTCTTGGACTCATCCTCACTTTTCAAGAAATACAGAATCATATCTTTAAATACTAGGTGTCCCCCTTTAATAAAGATGCAATTTTCTGGTGAGTTCTGGAAGTTCCCAGAACTAATTCAAACCATATCTCATTGTGTCCTTAATCCCATGGCTGATGCCTCATAGCATCATTAAATTTGTCCTTACTGCTGCAATAGAGTTTTCAGCTTGGGTATGTATTCTAACAGGAGTTTCTTGGCTTATGCCTTCTGCAGCTCTTTTCCCAACATCAGGATGGAACTTATGATAGC